GCTTTCCATTTTTCACCTCCTCTGATGCATCCCCCACCAACCGCGCTATCCGTCTCCAGGTCGTTTCTGATCCTGCCATGTGGTTTGGGGGTGGGCGGGTCACCCTCTCCCTTTTCCCGGAATATCCGCGGCCTCCTGCATTTTCAGTCGCCGCAAATCCATGGCTATAAATACATCAGTGGCCTTGTATTCCCACATCAAGCGCAGGGATTTCTGCTGACAGGCAGCGTGTGGACGTCACGGCGGCCTGCGCGGGAGGTGACCTCGCGCACCTGGGCCGGATCAGGCTCCCCGTTGCAGCGAGTTATGCAGACATTCGCGTTACGCATAATCAGCCTTTTGTCATCCATGCATTTGACCATAAATCTGAGCTCGACGTCACTCATAAGCATGGTTTTAACGGATTAATTGTAAATGTTTAGTAGACATTGTGTCGTCTGACCCATGTGGCAGCTGCGCTCCCGATTCGGCAACATATCGATTCGCCGCTCATTTGCCTAATGCTCCTTTAAGTAGGTGGAGGCCCTGTTACCTGCCGGGGATCAGGTTGCAGGCTTGGGTGAGTGATCAGGTGGAAGCTGAGGTGAGGGGCGAGGCAGTCATGTGATTCCCGGGTGGGGACTGGGATCAACAGCCGGACTCTGCAGCACTGCGAGCTCCGGACTCGGGACTGGCTGTGGTGCCGCTTTTTGGTAGAGTCCATCTGGAAAGATGAGTGAGGATGAAGTCAAGGAGAGAGGGATGGGTGGAGTGGAGAGATTCCAGGCAGATCGCAGAGCTGTGCGGCACTGGAGACACAGGTGAGCGTTCTCTAATCCTATTGGCTGGCTGCAGTGACACAGGTTAGGGTCCCCTAGTCCTACTGGCTGCAGTGACACAGGTTAATCTTACTGGCTGCAGTGATACAGGTTAGGGTCCCCTAATCCTACTGGCTGTGGGGACACAGGTGAGCGTTCTCTAATCCTATTGGCTGTGGGGACACTGGTTAGTGTCCCCTAATCCTACTGGCTGCAGTGACACAGGTTAGGGTCCCCTAGTCCTACTGGCTGCAGTGACACAGGTTAATCCTACTGGCTGCAGTGATACAGGTTAGGGTCCCCTAATCCTACTGGCTGTGGGGACACAGGTTAGTGTCCTCTAACCCTACTGGGTGTGGGGACACAGGTTAGTGTCCTCTAATCCTACTGGGTGTGGGGACACAGGTTAGTATCCTCTGATCCTACTGGTTGCAGTGACCTGGGTTAGTGTCCTCTGAACCTACTGGCTGTGGCGACACAGTTAAGCACCCTCTAATACAAAGGTGGGCAATCTTATGCAGAAAGGGCTGCAGTTTGCTGGTTCTCGCTGTAACTCCCTAATTAGATTACTAATTAGAGGACTGATTGGCTGAAGAGTCCTCACACCTGGGTTTGAACAGCTGACCTACAGGTTATCCCAACAACCTGCATACGCACTGGCCCGTTGCGGATAAGATTGGCCACCCCTGCTGTAATACCTGTTGTATCCTGTAATGGTCCTGGCTCTATGGAAAGCTGTTAATAACCACTTTGTCTGGGTGCCTCACTGGAGAACTTTATGAGCAGCAAGATTCACCCCATTCCTGGGCAAGTTTCACTTCTGTTTCCTCTGTGAACAAGGGAAACGTCACCTTGATGGACAGGCCTTGGTGTTTACCCCAGAACGCATTCATGCCTCTCGTACTGATGCCCGTCTGTGTGTGCAGTCAGCTTTCACTCACAGTACGGCGATAATGTTGCGTTTCTTATTCCTCTGAACCGACATCATCGAGCCTGAAGAGACGAACGAGTCAATGCGTGTTACCGTTATGATTAAACGGGTCAAATTACTGAATTTAATGACCTAAATGTCCTTCTCTGGAGGGAAATAGCTTTTGAAGAATGACTTACTTTTCCCGACAGGAATCAGTACAATGTGTATCTGTCGTCAGGCGCTGCTAGGCTGACGTGTGGGATGATCACTGCCTTGATGAAGATTATAGTTTTACGCTCCTCACTGCTTCGGGTTGGATGGGTGAAAGAGAGCCCTTAAATGCATGTCTGAAGCTGAGTGTGTCAGCATGTTTCCTTGGAAACCCTGACATTAATAGCCAGGTGTCATGGAGGGGGGAGGAGAGGTCGCTACATTGACAGTGGTTGCTAAATTAAAAATGCACGTTCTGGCCAGCAGAGGCGTTCTGGACACATGGCCTACACGCCGGTTTTCTGGTTGATATGCAGGTCGGACATACGTCAGCCAAACCGTTTTCTCTCTGCCAATGTTCGAACGACTTTAATCTCCCCAGGAATCCTTCCTTTGATCCCCCTCCCCCCCCCCCCATCCCTGTCCCTCCCTCAGTCTAAATGCAAATGGCTGAGTGTTCATTATGCCCACTTAGCACATTCAGAACCATGTTAAGGATGCGATGGGGGGGGCAGATTTGGGGCTGGCGTCGAAGCAGGCAGATGACGAAAAAACGAGTCTCGGCGATTACAGTGACTACGGCGACAATTATGACATCATCACAATTCCGGTGTGTCTCACAGAGCCTTTCCCGCTCTGCCTGGGGAGGCAGGCAGCCTGTGCGTGAAGCCGCAAAGTGGCGTGACTTTGTTAAAAACCTACTGGGTCGCTTGGTACTTTCTCATTCATTAATTGCGCTTGGTTACAAGATTTAAATGTAACTGGATGAACGCTGTAATCGTCATAGATACCCCGGGTCTGCCCCTGCACCACATTGCTGCATCTTTTTCTTCTTTTCTTCCATTCTGTATTTATCCGGAAAGGTTAGAGGTGTGCGTGCAGCCGTGCTCGATGCTCCGGGTGTAACGCGACGCCCGTGCCGTTGATTGTAGGAGGGCTGAAACTTTAATTAGGGTGTCGGGTGAATGGAACGCACCTTCTGCTTGGTTTTCCTTTCTCTTTTCTTTTTTTATTTGCAGGACCATCACCTCGTCCTTTACTGTGGGTGTGGTCTCAGGGAAGCCCCGCCTCCTCTCCCTGGGAGGTGTCCTATCGGCACCTCCCATTTCCCCGGTCGTCGTGCCTCCGTGGAACACGCCGCTGACAATCCCCTGCCGATTACGTGCCCGGCGCCAGCTGTCGCCGGGCATCGTCGCGCCATATTCTGGGAGCGTTGCCACCCTGCCCTCCACAGCCACCCCCCCCCCACCCCCCTTCCTGTCCTGATGGGGGGAGTTTGCGGCCCTCCATCTGTGACCTGGTCCTTAACCCATCCCACGTCTCTCTCGTGTCTCACAGGAAGGCCATATCACGGTCCGGCCTGCAGCATCTGGGTCCCATCCAAAGCCCCCCCCTGAGCAACGGGCCGACCAAGGAGCTTCGCACCGCCGTGGACTGGAGTGTGAGTATCTGTCACCCGGCCAGTTGGGGGCACCGGTGCAGTCCCATATGACCGCCAGAACCACAAAACATCACCTCACAACATTCTGCCAGCTCCTATTTTTCAAGCGTGTCGTGTTCAGAATGTTGTTGTGACTCGATTCTGTGGGATTCTCTAATTCCCAGCAAAGATTAGGTGAGATTCTCAGGATTTTGGGTTTTCTTTATCCCATAAACACGCGCCCAAGAGTAGCCCTGTTATGGAATTTAGCTGTTGGCAGTCCGGATGGCTTGCCTTGACCTAGCATTCCTCGCATGTTCTTCCTCAGGGGTGAAACTTATGGAAGCAAAAGGTCATACAGTCAGTGGCAGCTGCAGAAAATCTTAATTGGAGTGGCAATCTGGAGCCAGTAATATTTATGTGGGTAAAAACTTTCAGCTGGGGGGAGGGGTGCTGTCCATAAAAGCGTATCCCAGGGTAGTCGATGCCAAGCCGTCGGTCAAATTTAGTGGAGTTGGAAATTTAGCCAGGCAGACCACGTATAGATGCTTGCAATTGCACCTGTAGAGCGCAGGGCAGTGTTTTCCGGTCCGCTCCTCCTGGACCCACTGTCAGTTCTTGTTTTCGCTCCCTCTGAGCTCCTTGTCAGACAGCCCACATTTTTGCTCCCTCACAGCTTGCGGTAGGGAGCTGGGAGGAGCAAAAACATGGACAGTCTGTGTGTCCCCGAGGACCGCATTGGGAAAAATTATTGTAGGGTATTTATTTGTAATGATATCAAACGCCATGGTGATTATTTATTTTTTATGAAATGCAGAGTGGGTGATCTGAGCTGCATCTCCTGAACCAGCTCTGCTGGGGATGTACGGTCCCCCACATGGTCTGTGGGTTGGTTCATCCTCTAGACTAGGGGACAGCTTGCCCTAATCCCCCAGCTGTAGAGTCTGGCACGACCGGGACCGTCGCAAGGTGTCGGATATGCAGGGAGGGGGCGTTTGCTGGGAGACAAAGTCTTAGAGAGGCAGAGATCTTCCGGCAAGAACAACAGTGAAAATGCTGCAAGTCTGCAGATGGAGTCGCTCTCGATCTCAGTGAGATCGAATGGCCGTCGACATTCAGGGCCAGCCACTGCTCTTCAGAACCTTCTGAAGTTCTGTGTTTTCGGGAAGATACCGGGTCATATTCATATCTTTTTCCAGTGGTTGCTTTGTGGTGTTGAGCAGGCACCTGGAGACTTGGTTGGAGGCTTGGCGACAGACTGGTGGTTTTGGGTGGGTGGATTCTGAGCAGCTACCCGGGGAACCGAAAGCTTCCCGCAGGAATGTGTGAAGCTGGGCTCCTCAGTGCCCTCCTGCTGCTCACCTGAGGGAGCTACTTTAAGGTGTCTGAGTGGGAGGTGTCCCCCTCCCAGTGTGAACCCCCCTCCCATCCAATCAGGTATAGGTATGAGTCTTTTCCTGCAGTCTTGAAAACTTCTCTGTGCCCAGTCCAATGTGGTGGAGCTGGGGAGGGGGGTGGGGGGGGGCATCTCCCCTACCAGCTTCCTGATCGCCCTGTGATACCGGTATCACACAGCTATAATTGGTTTTTGCCCATCAGGCTGGGGGGGGGGGCATTTCCTGAATGTCAGTGCTGGCCTTTCCCTCCCCCCCCCATTGGGACCCCGGTGCTCAGTGTGTAGTCATTAAAATTTAACCCCCCCCCCCCCCAAATGGCTGAATGCCTTTGAACAAGCAGTTGATCTGAGTTCTGCTGTCTGTGTGGGTGTCGATTCCTGTGTGTGTTTGTGGGTGAGTGTGTGCGTGTATGTCCTGCACTTCCTGTTATACAGTACCAGCCAAAAGTCTGGACACAGCTACTGAAAATCATTTCTTTTTCAACAAGATAATGACCCTAAACTGACCTCGAGGTTGTGTAGTAAGTATTATCTCGTGACCAGGGAAAGAGATGACCTGGTCCCCGCAATCCCCAGACCTGAGCACTGTAGAGCTGCTTTGGGATGCGCCAGAGCAAGAGCACAGTCACTAACTTGTGCCCAGAACTTGTGGAAGCTCCATCAGGACTGTCAGAGGAGCATTCCAGGTGGCTACATTTGTAAGCTGGCTGAGTCTTCAATGCTGTCATTGAAGCAAAAGGGGGCTGTTTTGAAGAGGCTGAAATCTGAACAAATTTTGAGATGTTGAGCCCTTTGCGCTAGCAATTTTTGATGTGTAACAGTTAAAATAGAGAGAGATACATTAAAAGCAGGTGTGTCCAGACTTTTGACTGGTGTGGTATGTCTGATGTGTGTGTATGTGGGTTACTGCCTCACCACAGTGATACTGTCCTTGGTACCACATGTACTTTCTGCGTGTGTATTAATAGCGTGTTTCAGGGTTTGCTGCGGGTTTGCTGCGGGTTTGCGGTCGCCTCCGCTGTGGCATGTGCAGCCTCGGTCTTTCCGGCGTGGTGACATCGCTCCTGTCACCCTGCAGGAGACGGCAGTGAACGGTGAGCACTTGTGGCTGGAGACCAACTGCTCGGGAGAGCTGTGTTACCTGGGAGAGGAGACATGCGTGGTGAAGATCTCAGTGAGTGTCTGCCGGGCCCAGAGCAGGGGGCGGGGCCTGGGGATATGGGGCACTAACAATAATGTCCCGGCTACTGAACTGACAGAAGAATTGCTCTTCATGCCGAAACACCCATGCCGGGGTTTGAATATTCATTTTACAAGGTGGTTAGAGAAACTATTTAATATTAATGAGAGAAACTACCTGATTGGCTGGTGAAGTCTTCTAAGGCATTTATTCTCTAATCAGGTAGCGCTTCTCTCATGAATATTAATGACTTTTCCCAAACCTCCCTGTAAAATTAAAATGTATGGGCAATCTGGTGAAGGCCCTTGATTGTATTTTAAGTCAGTCTTTGATATTTCAGCATTTATGCGTCGTGTGTCACAGCTGATACGGTGGTCCGACTGGCTCAGAAAGCCGATGAATTCTCGAGGCAGAAAGCGTGACGGTCACGCTTATGTCTTCCCAAAGAATGAGAGAATGATGACACACAGGACGGACTGATGGGAAAAGCGAGCCTAGTTTGTGCTGTGGGCCCGTGAGGGACGCCGCCTGACCGTTAACTTTGTGCGTGTGTGTCTGTCCCTTTAAGAAGTCAGCGCCCCGGAGGAAATGTGCAGCGTGCAAGATAGTGGTGCACACAGCCTGCATGGAGCAGCTGGAGCAGGTGGGCCCTGCAGACCCCCCACCCATCGCCTTATCTGCTGTATCCATGACACCTGTGGAATGTTGTAGCAGCAGTCATGTGACACCTGCTCTTCCCGTCCTTTAGATCAACTTCCGCTGCAAGCCCACCTTTCGCGAGGGGGGGTCTCGCTACACACTGCGGGACGTAAGTGTTTTGTGTGTGTGGATTATGTTTATATTACATTGTGGGGACGAGTTTTTCAGGTGTGAATGCAATCAAAAAACTTAAAATATTTTGTTAGGTTACTTATGGTTAAGGTTAGGGCTGGGTAGGTGCTAAAGGTGTCATGCTGGGATTAGAGTTTTCCCCATAGAAATGAATGCAGAGTCCCCACAAAGAAATAATTACAAACCTCAGTGTGTGTGTCCTGTTGTCCCCATGTGGTGACAAATATGACTTTGAAAACATGACCAGATAAATCCTGATTACCGGAGGGGAGATACCCTGACCAGCGGGAGTTTCACACACTGTGAGACTCAGCCATGACCCTGCGGCCTTGCAGACCCCTGTGAATAGCTTCTGACAGTGGGGAACTGCTTAAAGAATTCAGCAAATTCTACCTACCTGCCTTCATACATGTGTGTGTGGGATTGTGTGTGTGCGCTCTCTGTCCTGGTTGTTTGTGACAAACCTGACCTGACTCCATGTGTGACTTGAACCCGCAGCCATCTGGGGTCTTCGGGGGCGTGCTATAGTGGTGCACTTGTTTTTCTTCTGGTGGGGGGGATATACTGAGCAAGGCGCCGTCTTACAGTTCTGTGTGTGTGTGTGTGTGTGTGTGTGTGTGTGTGTGTGTGTGTGCCTCACAGCAGAACACCCTGCGCCACCACTGGGTCCATCGACGCCGCCAAGAGGGCAAGTGCCGTCAGTGCGGCAAGGTAGGTCCCTCCCTCTGCCTCGGTACTTTCAGTATCCATGGCAACAGCAGGCGCGCATACCCCTGTCCCGTCTGTGTATGATGGACCTTCCCACAATGCTCTGTCTTGGGATCTGCAGGGGTTTCTCCAGAAACTGTTCCACAGCAAGGAGATCGTGGCCATCAGCTGCTCCTGGTGCAAGCAGGCAGTGAGTACCGTTTATCTGCAGATACCCACAATGCCTTTGGGGCCCTCCTCTGACCTCCACCCCTCCCGTTTCTTCACCCAGTTCCATAACAAGGTGACGTGCTTCATGCTGCAGCAGATCGAGGAGCCGTGCTCCATGGGCGCCCACGCCGGCGTCATCGTGCCACCCTCCTGGATCGTCAAAGTCAGGAAGCCGCAGGTACAAGCCCCTCCCTACAGGTGGCGGTCGGCCAATAAGCACGCAGGGTATGACTGTGGCTGGCTGCGTGAGGACAGGTAGGGAAGGGAGCTTGTGTGTTTGTGTGCCGAGGTCTGACAGCTTTGTTCCAGTGTGTGAGAGTGGGATGCCTGCGCGTGTCCTGGGGAGCCTGATGGTCTCCCCCCCCCCCGCAGGCCGTGTCGTGGGCTCTCCCTGCGGCCGCATGACACCGGCTCCTCCCCCTTGTGCTTGGTGCTCCATGCCACCTTTTTCTGTGGCCCCCCTGCTGCCATTACTTCGCTTTACCTGTAGCCGCCTTGCTGCCATCGGCTTTCACACACGCGACGCAGCGGGAACCGCGTGCGCTGCCGCTGTCTGGTGACTCGCATTGATGGACCCTGATCCGCATCCGACACTGTCCTGTCCTGGGCCCTGTCCTCTTCCTCAGGAAGGGGACTGTGCTTCATGGTTTGATGGGCAGCTGGGCATAGAAGGCCAGCTTCTGACCAGGATTGAGCTCCCCTTTAAGACAGTAGCTAGGAGACAGTCGCCCTTAGTGTTTTGAGAACAGTTCATGCTGCTGTAGCTCAACAAGTAGACTTTATAACAGTACAAAGATTGTGGATACAAATCCCAGGGACCCCACATGAACTTTTAATCATTTCCTCCCAGGGAACCACTAAAGACTGGTTTTTATTTATGTATTTCTGTATGCTTTAAATTGCAAACAGTTTTATTTATAGTGGTTTGCAGCATACCAGCTTAATTTCTGCTGTAATCAGTAGCCGCGGCGTGCGTAGCAGGATGTGGGCTGTGAGGCCACGCCTCCACCCCCCCTCCACCCCCCTCCCGAGGCCGTGCAGGTGTTCTCCAACTCAGCGCCTCATCTCTCTCCTGTCCCCCAGAGCTCTTTTAAAAACTCGAGCCGAAGGAAAAAACGGACATCATTCAAACGCAGGACCAGCAAAAAGGGAACTGATGTGAGTAAACCTGTTTTCACCTCCCCTCCCCCCCCCCCCCAAAAAGGCGTGACCGAATGACAGCCGGAGGAGAAGAGACACGGTCAGGAATAGGCTGGGCACTGGACAGCTGCTGCGTGTAGATAAAGAGCAGGCTGCATCTTTTCCTTGTACTCATTTTGTGTCCATTTGGCCACACCCCTTTTTAGTGTATCCATCGTATGTCATGAGGCCACGCCCCTTTATTGTATGTGTCCATTAGGCCACTCCCCTTTCTGCTTACTGCATAAACTGCTTCCTGAAATGCCACCAGGGGTGTGTTGTTGGGCCTTGGTCTTGGGAATAAAACCTAACCAAGGCTCCCAACTCCAGGCTGTGGCCGCAGAAACAGTGCGCGTGTTCATGTGGGTCCTTCTGCATGTGCATGTCTGCATCCGTGTATGCGTGACCGGTGTGAACATCTCTCCTGACAGGACTCCAAGTGGCGCCCGTTCATAATCAAGCCCCTGCCCTCTCCGCTGGTAAAACCCGTGCTGGTGTTCGTCAACCCCAAGAGCGGCGGGAACCAGGTAAGCCTGTTGGGAGGGGGCGGGTCACCCATCTGCAAAGCCCACCTCCAGAGACTGACCCTGCTCCTGCCCCTCCCTCACAGGGCACCAAAGTGCTACAGATGTTCATGTGGATCCTGAACCCCCGGCAGGTGTTTGATCTCTCTCAGGGAGGGCCCCGCGAGGCGTGAGTACCCGGCCTGATCTTCCCTCCCCTCTTCCTCGTTCTCACTCGTTTTTTTTTCCCCTCCACATTTTTAGTACACAGTCACAGTGTGTGTGCATTTTTTCATTCTGTGATAAAAGCCTGTTATTTTCACCTTTTGGGGCCTTTTTTTGTATAAAAAATTCCATCTTTATCCTGAATCCCTATCTTACCCTCCGCTCCTCAAAAATCTACCAATATAATAAGGTCGCTCATGAGGCTGACACAGTCAAACGCCGCCACCCGTATCCCTGGGCCAGACCACCCTGGTACCGCTGGGTCCGTAGACCAGGCGTCAGACGACGTGTTCCCCAGATCTGCTCCCTGACTCACCGTCTGCTCTCCCCTCTCAGGCTGGAGCTGTACAGAAAAGTGCCGAATCTCCGAATCCTGGCGTGCGGGGGTGATGGCACGGTAAGATCGGGGGGGGCTGAGCTGTTACATCACGCCTCTCTCCAGCACTGGGGGCGGCAGCAGACCATCCTGCTCATTCGCATCTAACTTCTTCTGTTAGGAGGAAAAAAGCAGAAAGCAGGGAAGTTTCCTCTATTAACGTGTTAATTATCACACAAAAAGTTGACTTTTTTTTCTTTTTTGAAAATTAAGAGACGACAGCAAAATTTTCACTCATTTCTCAATTTATGTCTAAGCACCTGTGTAAAATATACATTTGTTTAGCGAACAGCAGCCTGGTTCTTCCCTGCTTCTCACTGATGAAGCGCTTCTTCCTTGCTTTATGGGACAGTCCTGCTTCTAGGAGCCTGATGTTAACTGTCCTAGCAATGCGCTTCACACCTGCATTTAATGTTTCCCATTCCTTTTGAAGGTCACTTGAGGTCATTCTCTGATTTATGAGGCACTGCCGGATAAGTTGACGGTCATCTCTAGCATTCAAAAAATTGCTTCTGTCATCTAACTGGCTGGTTTTTGGTTATTGACAGTGTCTCCTGCTTCACCTCGTTCTTGTGTACTGCTGTCTTAGGAGCTCTGAGCCTGGAAACAGCCTGTCTCGCAACAGCCTGCCAACAGAAGCCAGCAGGATTTAAAAGTGCAGATTTTTAAAAAGTATAGAGTGCTCTCTTCATTTTTCCCAGGACTTTAGCTTTGCCATTTTAACGTACCAGGTTCCTATAGTTGGCGCTGGCCTTTTAGTGGCCATAGTGTGCAAGTGCGAGGTTGGCTGATTCTGACTCTCTGTCCTCCAGGTGGGCTGGATCCTCTCAGCCCTCGATGAGCTTCAGATGAACCCCCAGCCCCCAGTTGCTGTTCTTCCTCTCGGGACAGGAAATGACCTGGCACGCACCCTGAACTGGGGAGGGGTGAGCAGACAGAATGCAGAAATTTTCCATTTGCCCTAAGGAAGAATTTGGCATCGGTTTATGGGTAACCGGTGTCTTTTGGACCTTTTTGTGTCGTCTTCTGTTGGATCGGACTGCCTGCCCTTCTGTCTGCAGTAGCTGCTTTTGTGGGTCGGGTCATAGCAGTTCTGTGAAGCCTGGGGTATAGAGACGGGCCCACGTTAGTCAGGACACAGTGACACGACACTAGGGAACACGTCTGAGTCACCACTGTACCTGAACTGCTGGAGAACCCAGAGGCAGCTCATGCGCACAGGGAGAAGATGCCAGCTCCACATGTACACCAAGCTGGGGTTCAAACTAGGGCTTCTCTTCAGAATGGCTTCCATGTGTATTCCTACTTATTACTGAAATGAATGAATTGTTGCACGGGGAAGTCAGCAGGGGGCGATGTGGCTGTTTGGTTAGAGCCTTCACGGCAACTGTCAGCAAAACCAGTGACCCCTGTGCCCCATTAGAGTAAATGATTGCATACTATATTTACGGAATCGTCTCTGGGGGTGGGGGGGTCCAAGGTGGGGATCACGGGAGCTTGGCAGATCCTGGTGGGCAATATTTTAATTGTTATTTACTCTGTTTGCATCCATTAATGAGCAGAGATAAATGTCACCCCCGCTCTTCCTGCCGTTGAAGGTACAAAGGGAGTGTGACAGCCACAGTGTCACATGTGTTTAAACAAACGGGATGTTGGAGGCTCTCAAAGCCGCTGGGGGGTTAGGCTCCAGCTAAGTTACCAGGTTCACCCCCCCCCCCCCTTTTCATTTCCGTGAGACCAGCCTCTTGAAAAATATGGGATGGATGTCGCTGGAAAGACTTTGCTGTCATTGTAATTTTCGCTTAATTCATTTTAAATGGAGGCTTTTCAAATACCCTTAATTACGCTCTCATGGATCCTCTGGTACTCCTCTGTGGGGGCGGACGTCGGCAACCTGGGTGTCTGCAATCTCTCTCTCTCTGAAATTATTTGAGCTGCAATGGGCATTGTAATGTTGAAGAGTCCCCCCTCCCCACCACCACCACCATAAATCTGCTTTATACAATTTGAAGGTCCAGCGTGGGCGGTGGGTGACTCTGCAGGTTAGCACAGTGTATCTGCAATCAGATACACCAGCAGGTTGCTGGTTCAGATCCTGTTTCTTAGTAAAGTGGCTTTAGTGTTGGGCCCTTGATCAAGGTCTTTAGCTCCAGCTGCTTCAGGGACTGTGTGATCCTGCTCTCTAACTCGTATGTTGCTTTGGACAAAAGCATCTACTAAGTAACTGTGATGTAACAGTGTCGTGGTTTTAAACCACCGCAAGTGAGCTGTGTTGTACTAAACACACATCGATGTCTCTTCTACACGTCAGTCCTCGATGCTGCCACCAGTTCACTGTGGAGGCTGCAGAGTCCCTGTCGCAGCCTTGACCCTGGCTGGTAGTGAACAGGAGCCCCTGATGTGGAAATAAACAGGCCACGTTCCCCCACAATTTATTCCTGCACACTTGGGTCTGGGTTGGGTTTTTTATTCCAGTCAGAGTTAAGCAGGGCTCTGAGCTGGATGGTACCAGCCAGATCCTGTACTTCAGGGGTCTCCAGCTTAGGCTAAAATCCTATATCTGTAACATGCAAACAATGCTCACAGGATGTCTTGGGACGTTTGCTTAACTCTTTAACATTGTTGCGAATTTACTGGTTTCATAACAAAAGTCCTTTGAGAAGTAATATTCCCATTTTCCTTTTAATGTCATAATTTTTTTGACTTACGGTTCTGTCCTTCCCATTTTTCTATTAATTGCAATTGTAGTCATTGGCTACATTTTTCTATTAATTGCAGTTGTAGTCATTGGCTCCCAAAGGGATACTAAACACAAATGTTTGTTGTTTTATGTTATTGCGAAGGTGTCACTAATTAAAAAGCCCCCAATGAGACTGCTTGTCAATGAACCTTTTAACTCAGAGCAGCTCTTTTAGAACTTGGGTTTGGATTTCGATTTATTACTACTCACAATGAATGTTTTACTTAAAACCACTGGTTGTTTCTCATGTGATATTTTTTGTAAATACATGATGTAATGATTTTTGTCATGAAACCAATGAATTTGCAATATTTTTACTGAATTAATTAAGCGTCCCTAGACTTTCTGTGAGCACTGTAGATGGGTATATATACTCTAATAATGTTTCCTAAACATATGGTTCCTTTAGCCCTCTACCTACGCTCCCGTCCCTCTTCCCCTCTCTTCCCCAGGGCTACACGGACGAGCCAGTGTCTAAGATCCTGTGTCAGGTGGAGGAGGGCACGGTGGTGCAGCTGGATCGCTGGAACCTCCAGGTGGAGCGGAAGTTCTCCCCAGGAGAGGAGGGCTCTCAGAAGGTGACCTAGAATCCAGAGCATCAGGCTACAGACGGGCATCAGGAGAACCTACCTGATGTGTAACTCTCCCGCCGTACGCGTTCCTTCGTTCACAGCTGCCGCTGAATGTCTTCAATAACTACTTCAGCTTGGGGTTCGACGCTCACGTCACCCTGGAGTTCCACGAGTCCAGAGGTGAGAGTCTGGGGAAGATCGGGGGGTGAGGGGGTGCAGGCGATCGGGACGTGGGTGTCATGGCGGGTCGTCACAATCGCAGTGGCTGACTTAGCAGAGCACATGCTGAGGACGTGAGATCCCAGGGCCTGACAGGTGCGGAGAGAGGGGCGCCCGGCCCCTCCTGAGTGCTTGGCAGCCACTCGCTCAGTAGACGTGGCGGATTACCAGAGAAATGCTCAGAGCCTCTAATTAATGCGATCTGTCACTTCTTTATGAGGCGAGGGTGGGTGGTGCTGGGAACAGTCCAATTTGAGACACGAACACGGCCTCAGATGGTAGAAAAATCGGCACGGGAAGTCCGGCCCGGCTTGACGTCTCCTCCCCTTGCCCTCCGCAGAGGCCAACCCTGAAAAATTCAACAGCCGTTTCCGCAACAAGATGTTCTATGCAGGGGTGAGTGGGGTGTGAATCGCTGACCGTGTAGCTCTGGGGCCGAAGCGCGGCGCTGTGACCCAGCAGCTGCTCTGTTTGTCACGTCCCTCCAGGCTGCCTTCACCGACTTCCTGCAGAGGAGCTCCAGGGACCTGTCCAAGCACGTCAGGGTGGTGGTGAGTGCAGCACTGAAGGTCCCCACTAGGGGGCAGCCCATCCCGGCACATTCTGCAAACTTTTCTTAGAACAGCAGTAATATTGACATCTGCTTCAAGTTTACTTAATTTAACGGACGCTTTTGTCAATAGCGATGTACAAGGGAAGCAAATACACCATTACAAACATACAGCTGTCAAGAAGTTGACTAGGTGAACTGCAGGAGGTTGAAAGTATTTATAATTATGCATCCATGAATAATACAGGTACCTATGATTTGAAAGTAATTTGGAGATAATAGAATGCATTTTTAGATTTCAGCTGTCATTTTTCTGAGACCTCCTGTTTATTTTTTCATTTTAAAGAAGAAAAAATGAAGATCCAAATGACAAGGGCCATCTTTTTCTTTTCCTGTCTTATCCTTCCCTCGTTCCCCGCAGTGTGACGGAACGGACCTCACCCCCAAGATCCAGGAGCTGAAGTTCCAATGCATCGTGTTCTTGAACATTCCCAGGTGCAGAAACCACCCTCCGAACCACCCCTGTAACCTTAGCGACTACGCCATCTGCTGATGGGTTTTGGCAATGCGCTGTCGTATGGCTCAGACACTGCTGCCGCCTTTCGGCTGTGTGTGTCCGCTGTGCCTGTAGCGAAGGTGTTTCTGCCCCCCAGGTACTGTGCGGGCACTATGCCATGGGGTAATACCGGTGACCACCGTGAGTTTGAGCCTCAGCGGCACGACGACGGCTGCATCGAAGTCATCGGCTTCACCATGGCGTCTCTGGTGAGTGGGTGCGAACGTCTTGGGCCATATCTTCATTCGTCGGGCCGCCCCGTGTTCACCGGTGCCCTCTGTGTCCACCAGGCGGCGCTGCAGGTGGGCGGGCACGGTGAGCGGCTGCACCAGTGTCGGGAGGTGACCCTGACCACTTTCAAGACGATGCCGGTGCAGGTGGATGGGGAGCCGTGCAGACTGGCCCCGTCCACCATTCGCATCTCGCTCAGGAACCAGGCCAACATGGTGCAGAAGAGCAAGAGAAGGACCTCTGTCCCTCTGCTCAACGAGTGAGTCACACGCGTACACACACACGCACACACACACACACGCACACATGCATTCCCCTTTCTTATCTTATGCTGACTTGCTATCTTGTAAATGATCCGTTAAGGACATTAAACTGAAAAACAAAACAAAAACATACGAAATCTGACATTTACAAAGAACAGGATTGGGGGCTTGTTTTTCAGGTATGGCTTTCATATTTTGTCTAAGTAAAAATTAAAAAAATGCACGCCCAGACACACAACATGAAGCGGCGCCGTGCTGATTGCTCCCTGTGTGTTGTTGACCTGTTTGTGGGTCATGCCACTGTCATGGTGTCTCTCTCTTTTCCTCTCGTCACCTTCACTAACCCCCCTCCCCCCTTTGCGTCTGTCCCTCTACTGGCTGCCTGTCTGCCTCCCCCCCCCCCATTGCCTGCGCTGGTTGTCAATCTGTGCCTCTGGGTTTGCGCAGCATTCAGAAAGTGTGTGCCGCCGACCTCCGTCGTCTCTCCGCTCCCCCCGACTCCTTCTCCATGTGAGTATCTCTGCCCAGGTGGGCGGGGCAGGGCTGGGCGGGGGCGGGGCAGGGCTGGGCGGGGGCGGGGCACAGTAACTGCTGGCTTGGGCCTTTTCTGCTCTATCTGTGGCTCTTCCGGGCAGGGGCGGGCAAGCGGGGGTGAGGGGTCCGTGTGTCAGCCATCGTTGTATGACAGATAAATGGCCTGATTAATGTAGATGCAGGGGACAGAGCACGCACACAGACGCCGGAGTGTGTGTACGCACAAACATCCCGTGTGCGCAGCGATGAGTCAGACAGTGTGTTCGAGCGCCTGACCACTATGTTACCGTGGCTGCCATCTGTTTCGCAGAGCGTGCTGTGAGGCGATTAAAATGCAGGTTTTCGGTGCTGGCGGAGACACGGCTGCCGCAGCCCCCATGTGACACGCGCCTCTCGCGCCGACTGCGGAACGCTAACCGCGCGCCGCGGTCATGCTAACAGGTCTCGCTCTCATTGGAGGAAATAACTGCTTTCGTTTTACTGTTTTCATTTTACGTCGTCACGCACCAATGCAAAAAAAGCACAAGTATGTCTGCACGCATGTGTGTGTGTTGGTAGGTGTAGTATATGATGCAGCTGGCTACCTTGCGTGTTTGTTTGTGTGAGGGCACATGCTGGCATCTGTCAGTGTATGACTCTGTCAGCTTCTTTCATGTGTGTGTCTACACATGTGTGCGTGTGTGTGTAAATTAGGTTTATATTACGTTGTGGGGACCATTTTTCATGTCCTCATAAAGATCTGCGAATGCAATCAAAAAAGCAAAAATGCCTAAAATCTCGTATTTTGTTAGGTTACTTATGGTTAAGGTCGTTATGTTGGGATTAGAGTTTTCCCCATAGAAATGAATGGAGAGTCCCCACAAAGATATAATTACACACCTGTGAGTGTACGTGTGCGTCTGCCTTCTATAGCCGCCCTGCTCCTGTTTCACAGTGAAGCACTGGTTCAGTAGCAGTTACCAGCTAAAATGTGGACTGTGTTTTCCCAGCTTTGATGGCGATCAGACCACCCCGGTTCACACGAGCCCCAGGGCCGGCGCTGTGTGGCAGGTCCAAAGCTCAGCGGGACACGACGTGACCCAGCAAACAGCCAACATTCTGGGAACGTTCCCCTGAGCTTCTCACTTGGCATTCCGCTTAGCATCTTAAGCAGAACGTTTCATTAATGCATAAAGGTTTCCTACAGAGGAGAGATACCAGATTATTCATGAAGACTGGTCCTGGAACGTTCTCCCTCTTCTGTGTGGGCATGCATCTTTGAAACCAGCAAATGCCGCTGTCCCAGAATGCCACTTGAGCTCCTGAGAGCTGCAGCGCACTGAGCATTGCAGAAATGCACAGAAAACTGAATTTCCAGGTCAGCAAGGGTCTGATCTGAGAATGGGAGCTGCTGTGAATGAGGAAGTCCTCAGCGTTTCAACCGCAGTTTGTCTCTCCTGTTAGCGACAGTAATGTTTACGCGAGTTTCTGCTTGTCCCCCTGTCCACGCAGTCCCCACGCCGTCCCGGACCGCCTGCGTCTCCGGGTGAACCGGATAAGTCTGCAGGAATATGAGAAACTGCAGTTTGACAAGGAGCGACTGCGAGACATCTGTGAGTGCCGCCTGGCCGTTCAAAGTGTCCTCCAAGCAAAGGCAGCGTGAAGCATGCTATCATAATGATGTAGCATTAGCATACCCTATCTAACAGCAATAGTGTACCCTCATAAAGGCGAAGTAATAACCATCGTTACAATGTAGCATTAGCGTACCTTGTTCATAGCAGCAATAGTGTACCTTCGTAATAACATAACAATGGTATACATCGTATTAGCATAGCATTAGCATGCTCTGTTAGTAACAGCAATAACGTACCTTCATGAGAGCATAGCAATAGTATGCTATCGTAATAATGTAGCATTAGCGTACCCTGTCAATAACAGCAATAGTGTATCCTCATAATGATATGCCAATAGCATTTCATCGTAATATCACAGCATTAGCATACTTTATTCATAAGAGCAATAGCGTGCGCTTGTAAAAACACAATAACAGCATACCCCTGTAGTAATGTAGCATTAGCATGTCTTATTAATGAGACCAATAGTGTACCCTCGTTATAAATTACCCTCTTAATAGAAATTTCTGTAACCAGAAATTTACAGTCCCATAAGCACGTTTGTAGGTCCTACTGTTTATAAGTTAATCAGCTTAATTGAGATAGTTTATTTGGGATTGGATTCAATAAAGTTAAATACTCCGTGTAATGCATCAGCTTTTTGATTGGCTGGAGGGCTGTTTGTGAATACCATCGTGTTCCCCAGCCGCCCCGGTCGGCATCGTCGTGGTGAGAGGAGACTGTGACCTGGAGACCTGCCGGCTCTACATTGACCGACTGCAGGAGGTGGGTGACCTCTCACACCCCGCTTGTTTGATTTCCTGTGCCATAGCCGCTGATCCAGTGCCCTGTCATGGTGGCTTTGGCTGAATCTCCCCCAGGGCTCAATCGTGTTCTACACAGCAGCTAATTTACTTTAAATCTTTTTTTTATTTTTAACAATCTAATCTTTTGCCTTTTCAAATTAATAACCTGCTTGTCTATGATCAGCCCATGAGTCAGAAACACATTGAGTCATTGTGTAAAGAACCTAGCCTGACCCACTGCAACACCACAAAGAGACTGCAGCCTTTGACTTCTTTGTTCGGTTCAGACTTTTTCGGCACCTGTCCCAGCATCCATTAGTTCACCTTCTACGACCATTTATCCAGAACAAGGCTGCTCTGAGTCTAGAGCCGGGAGATACAAGGCACCAGACAGTGGACTCCCTGGTGGAGATGACTCTCGCAAGCCACACAGTCGCACGCTTTGGACAATTTAAGGACCCCAGTTCACCTACCTGCATATCTTTGGACTTTAGGAAGAAACCCTAAGGAAGGCAAACATCGTGCACAGGCATCACTGCCACCCGCATGTTAACATCATTGGCTCAAAATTTAGCAAGAGCAGCGTCATAGATAATGGGTGAATGATATGTAGTAAAGTCACACTGAAAAATGCCAGAAGCAGTGCAGGAGAGGAAGTCGTAGTTATATTTGGAACCTCTAGGTGTCTGGGTCCAGCTGGCGTTGTGTGGCCACGCTAAACTTACACTGTGTAGGTGTTGAGAGTGGAATGACACTGGCCAGTGTCGGCCGTCAGCTTGGCAGCATGGCTGTGCTTAATCGCTGCGTGTCATCCTGGCCAAACCAGAGGCATAGCGCTTCTCCAAAATTCCCTGATGATTTGGCGAGCTAGTTTTATGTCAAAACTTGCTTTTACTCTGGCCTTAGTACTTTTTAAATATATATCTTTAATGTATAATGTATGTGTGTGTGTGTATATATATATATACTCAGCAAAAAAAGAAACGTCCCTTTTTCAGGACTGTGTATTTCAACAATAATGTTGTAAAAATCCAAATAACTTTACAGATCTTCATTGTAAAGGGTTTAAACAATGTTTTCCATGCATGTTCAATTAACCATAATCAATTAATTAACATGCACCTGTGGAATGGTCATTAAGACCTTAACAGCTTACAGAAAGTAGGCATTTAAGGTCACAGTTCTAAAAACGCAGGACACTAAAGAGACTTGTCTACCGACTGTGAAAAACACCCAAAGAAAGATGCCCAGGGTCCCTGCTCATCTGCGTGAACGTGCATTAGGCGTGTTGCAGGGAGGCATGAGGACTGCTGATGTGGCTAGGGCAATAAATTGCCATGTCCGCACTGTGAGACGCCTAAGACAGCGCTACAGGGAGACAGGAAGGACAGCTGATCATCCTCGCAGTGGAAGACCACGTGTAACAACACCTGCACAGGATCGGTACATCCGAATATCACACCTGCGTGACAGGTACAGGATGGCCACAACAACTGCCCGAGTCACACCAGGAACACACAATCCCTCCATCAGTGCTCAGACTGTCCGCAATAGGCTGAGAGAGGCTGGACTGAGGGCTTGTGTGTTCCTGGTGTGACTCGGGCAGTTGTTGTGGCCATCCTGTACCTGTCACGTAGGTGTGATATTCGGATGTGCATGTTAATTAATTGATTATGGTTAATTGAACATGCATGGAAAACATTGTTTAAACCCTTTACAATGAAGATCTGTAAAGTTATTTGGATTTTTACAACATTATTGTTGAAATACACAGTCCTGAAAAAGGGACGTTTCTTTTTTTGCTGAGTATATATATAGTTTTTTTTTTCCCTAGAGATTTTCACAAGAATGTTTTAACACATCTCCTTGTGTTCCTCTCTGGGTGCCATTCTTGCATCTGTGAGGACAGGATTACAGTGTCCTATGTGTCTTTATTGTTAACTGTGTATTTCCGTGATTCCCAGAATTGGATTTTCCCCCATTTGATGTTAAATCCAGATGATGATGTAATGCAGTGTAATAGGGTTTGAGTCGGTTGTGTTTTCTGCCGTGAGCATATATATATAAATACCAGGCACAGCACTCATTGCGGTTGTGTAACATTCAGAGACAGTGGGGGAAGGGCGGGGGGGGGGTGTTAGACAGTTGCTCCTTGATGTGTCTCACACTGCCCTCTGACAGGACCTCCATCAGGCCCCCCCAAGCGTCCACCGGGTACACTACCAGGTAACTGACATTTCCTCTCAGTTACATACCCCCCCCTAAGCCTTTCTCGTGAGCCTGACCCGACCCCCGTCCACCATGTGCGGTTTCAGGATGAGTCCAGAAGCCTGGTCCGGCCCGGCTCCGCCCACAGACTGTCCTCCAACTGGAGCTTCCTGGACTGTAAGTCTCACCCCTACATACTTATGGGCCCTCCTGTCCCGCACCGAATTCATCAATGCGTCCCGTTTCCAAGCTTCCGTGGGTTTCCACGACGACACGCCATCCGCATTGTTTTTAGCGCCGCTTGTTGCCTTGTTGACCTGGTAACTCCTGCCCTTCCATTTGTTCTCTTTCCAGCAACGTCTGCCGACCGTTTCTATCGCATTGACAAGGCTCAGGTGAGCAGGCTTTTAATTGCAGCTGAACTTATTCAGTCAGGACATTAAAACTGTCATTCATCCAGAAGAGATACAGGTGACTAATATCATTACCATGCTCTAGCCGAACCATTAGTTATTGACATCTGTATGCAGACCTTAGTCACATACCCCGAGTAACACACCTTAAATGAGTCATGCAGATCTCTAGCTGAGACCGGATTATTTCAAACTGAAATCAGGTTATGTTTGATTTGTGCTCCACTCTGCGCCAATCACGCCACTCTTCCTCTCTGTGCTGCCACTTTAGACAGAAGTGATTGCAATTTAACAAACATCTCTTTGGTCAGTTTGTTGCCGGAATACAGCAGCAGGAAGCAAAAGGTTTTTCTGATTAATAAGTTTGTTTAAAGGTCTGACCTCTTGCCCTGTGAATGTCTGGCTTCCCAGGAGCACCTGCATTTTGTGACGGAGATCTGCCAGGACGAGGTCTTCATCTTGGACCATGAGACCCCCAGCGTGGGGCAGGTTGGCGGCCCAGGAATGCCGGACCTTGTAGTGGAACCAAGGTTTGTAAGCCTTCCTGTGTGGTGACACCCATCTGTAACAGCAACACTCTCTCTCTCTCTCTCTCTCTCTCTCTCTCTCTCTCTCTCTCTCTCTCTCTCTCTCTCTCTCTCTCTCTATGTGTGTGTGTATGTGTGTGTATATATATATATATATATATATATATATACACACACACACAGAGAGAGAGAGAGAGAGAGATATATATATATATGTGTGTGTTTGCGGGATTAGGGACTTCACCCTATAAGCTATTGTTTACAAGCTCATTGATGGAGAGATATCCCAGTGGGGTATACTTTAAAGCGAGTTTTACATATTCAGGGTAAACTCGACAGAGTATCACGTAAAAGGGGCAGTGATTGGATTGCAAACTAGGTAATTGATACCCCCCCCCGGACTCGGAAACCTTTATCCTTACTACCAGGGCAAGTTTCTAAATGTATTCGGTTCGTGAATTGGAATGTGGATTGAATTGGCCACACCCAGCAGGATGTCGAATTTGAATTTAATTGGAATGTCAGTAAGAATAATTTAACTGATTTCAGTACAAAGAAATTCAATGCAATTACATAACACAGGAATGCCATTTATTCTATCAAAGCATAAATAATCAAATAAAAGGTTTTCATTCTAGATGGTAGATTAAATATACAGTGGAACCTCAGTTCTTGAAATGAAACAGTTCCAGAAGGCTGTCCGAGAACTGATTTGGTCAAAAACCTAATGTTAAAACCATAAATAAAAACTTTAAAACCCATAAATACATGAAATAAATGAAAAAAATTATTTCAGCGTTCCATACTCTGTAGGGCACCTCTGTCATACTTTGGCACCTCCATTGTGGTTCTCACAACTTTGGTTTTTGGTTTGCTGCTATCACGCCTTCTTAGGACCCATGGTGGCTTTTTTGAAAACAAAATAAGAGCAACAAGAGCAAAAAAAACAGGAGAATATTCACAACACAATTTCCCGGAGATGTTCACTACGCGAGTGTAAGTGGTAGACTGACTCATACACACACATTCTCTCCTTTGTTTATGTTGGTTGGCCGAGAACCGAAAATACATTCGACAACCGAGAACATTTTCTATAAAGCAATTTGGTCAAGAACCGAATTGTACGACATGTGAGATGTTTGAGAGTGGAGGTTCCACTGTATATACATACTGAGCTTATATGTGCAAATGGTAAACTTTTCAGTGCCAAAGGGTTGGTATCCTCTGCTAAACGTGGTTGGCTCAGGTATATGGTAACATCATGTGAAGCTTTGGCAACAGCTGACAGATATCTTTGACTTTACATGTAGGAAAAGAATTCAAAACATTTCTTTGGTTGGGTACTGCAATCATTATAGTCACCACTGAGTTTGGGGGGAGATACACTTTTCTAGATCCACCATGGTACACAAAATGACAGTTCAATTATTTATTCGATAGGTGTTGCATTTTTTCATTCTGAATAACATGGCATTTTCATAAAAATGGTACAGTATATGCTAAGAATTTTAACATGATTATGTGTAATTCATGTTGAAATATGATGCTGTATTTTTAAAACCTGTGTCTACACTATGCACTTTAGTTGAATTCAATTCCATTTTAGTTCTTCCTTAAACTCAATTTTGAGTTAAAGTTCTGAATCCTGTTTTCACCCGTAATTCAAATTCAATTTAAATTCACAAATTGATTTGGAATGTCAGGGCCATTATCAATTCAGTTCAGAACGGCACACAGTCCTGAGTTAGCGACCCCACCACCCCCCGACACCAAATATTGGTGTCAGGGTAAAAACTGACAGTTCTGGCACCAAATATCAATATTGGTATAAAAACTGAAGGGACTCGCAACAAATATCTGTATCAGGATAAAAACCTTGGTGTTTCTTGGTATTGAATCGAAAATAAAATCAGTTGTGTTGCCCATCCCTCTCATTTAGCTAAAGAGAAGCTCTTATTGGCTGTGTTTTTCATGAAGGGTTGGTTTGTATATACAGTACTGCGCAAAAGGCTTAGACCAGGGGTGGCCAATCTTATCGGAAAAGGGCCGGTGTGTATGCTGTTTTTTGCTGCAACTCCCTAATTAGGTCACTAATTAGAGGACTAATTGGCTGAAGAGTCCTCAGACCTGGGTTTGAACAGCTGACCTAAAGGTTATCCCAAAAACCTCCATACACACCGGCCCTTTGCGAATAAGATTGGCCACCCCTGGCTTAGGCAGTCCAAAGAAATGTTAGAAGCAATTTATCGGGAAAATGCACTTTTGCTCAGACCAAAAAAACACAATTTAGCATTAGAAGACGTGCAAATTAAGAGTAACATGGTATAAAATCTCTTCTGTTCTACAAAAAGGTCACCACAGGGTGGTTAGATGAATACTATTTCAGTTCCCAAACCTCTATCCTAGGGCACCTCAGACATTCTATATATTTATTAAATTTCTCCAGCAGCTCACTTAATTAATTAGTTTAAAAAGTGAGTGAGATATTGATTGGCTATAGGAGTTGTGAGAGTGGTCGAGTCAAAAATACATGGGTGCTTTTGGATGGTTGCTGGAAGTACAACGGTGATTTAAAATGACAAATTCCAAGTCTTTGAATAAAGAAATGTAAGGCTTCCAGGGGCCAGAACACTTTATGTGCAAATATACCTGAATCGGTTTGCGATTTGGTGCCAAACATGAAATACAGGACAATCTTGCAAGACACTTGCCAGAAACATGTCACTGTGTAATATACAGTATATACAAAACCAAAGAATAAAGTAGAAAGGGCAGATTTACAGGAAAATACCCCCAAAGATACTAATGAAAAATGTTTGTTACTTTTTGTTTCACTTTCTGAGTCATTTTTACTTGTCTGACTCATTCTAAACTAGTTCTGTAAGCAGACAAGTGGATTTCTCACGTCTCATCACTTTTAAACTTGTCCATAGTCAAATCTCTATAGACGTTTCCAGACCATGATTATGTTTCTACCATCCAGTTGAGGGGTCTGTGACTGTAACATTTTCGGTGTTGAGCATAGTAAAGGTTTACAAAGGTTTATGTTGATTTTATATCAAAGTTCCAGTCAAAGTTGCCACTTGATGTTAAACTATGTTTCTATGTTTGTGAAGACAGCAGCTTTTTTCTTCTCCTTCCAGAACACCGCTGACTACTGAAGAACAAGGTACTAAGGCCAGACACTATTTGAAGTCGGGAAGTAGTAGCACTGTTTTTTGTTGTGGGTGGTTTTCAGGGGTTTCTAATTGTGTAACTCTTCCTGTCAGCCCTGCTCACAGCAGCCTCCTTCGGAGACCTACCAAAGGTTTGACGTCCCCATGTCTGCTTGCGTGCGATTGGTGTTTTCCTGAGGCTATAGAGAGACACTCAGCCCCTGGCTCTCACTCTCAGCCCCTCCTTAGAGTGGTTGGCTATTCTGGGGCAGAAGAGCAGCACGTCGGCTCTGCTGCAGCTGCCTTCCCCCACCTTCCCTAGCTACACATTCCGATCCCCCCCCCGTGACAAACATCACCGGCTGAGAGCTGATAACTTGGCTACTCAGATGTAAACGAGTCCCCCCCTTCACCTCCTGTTATTATATGTACATATGTATGTATGTATACATACACACACAGGTTTGTAATTTTATTTTTGTGGGGACTCTCCATTCACAGATCTTTGTGGGGACCTGAAAAATGGTCCCCACAACGTCAGAATAACAGATTTTTAATAACATTGTGGGGGACATTTAGTCCCCACAATGCAATATAATCCTAATCCACACACAAGCACATACACACACAGTTCAAAATTGTGACCCTGTACTGTGTATCAGCTTTTTTTTTTTTTTACTGTAAGTCGCTTTGGATCAAAGCAGCTAAATGTCAGCCTGCACACAGTTTTCCAGCTCCTGGAGCAGTGGGGTCAGTCTGCTGGTGAGAGACTCGGGGGGCTGCTCTGCGCTTCACCTGGCCGCCCAGAACGGACACGCTGCAGTCGTTGGCTTCATCCTGGAGCACGGTGAGCGTCTACACCCGGCCTTTGGGGGCAGTTTAGGGTGTCACAGCTATTAATTGCTCACTGTGGAAGTCTGACCAAAAATCACTCCAGGAAAGTCCCCTCGGCTCGTGGGCGGCGCTTTCTTAAAATCCCAGCGAGTGTTTGCAAACTGGTGTAGTCTTACTGGGCAGGAATGCTAGTACAGATCTAAAGCTACACTTTTGTAAAAGCAATATATTAAAATAATATTTCTTTTTCTCTTATTTTCAGGTTCCAAGATTATCCTGGATTTAATTGACAGTGAAACGTAGGAAGCATTCTTTTAACTCACTAAAGGTCCTATTAATCTAGTGTCCCTGTGGTCATCTATTGGATGTTGTAGTAACCAGAATTGCTGTGAGATGAGTGTGTTCTGTGCCATAAGCTGTGCGTTTATGTCTTTTGCCTTAAGGGGAGAAACAGCTTTGCACAAAGGGGCTTCCCAGCACCAGCACACTGTATGCCGCATGCTAGTCGACGCTGGAGCTTCCCTCACTAAGGTCAACTTCCAGGTAATGCAGCTAGAGGCTGACTCATCTCCTGGTGCACGAACACATGACACAAATATAACAAAAACAGCCATGGCCCGGTTGTTAGGGAAATGGACGGAAAAAAAATACTTGTCTGATTATCCGAGTCGAGGTACTACATTCTGACCTGAGGAATCCCCATTGTGTTCTGAAAGGAGGTGTTTTTCTTTCAGGGGAAGACACCCAAAGACAAGGCTCTTGAATCCGGGGATATGGAGTTGGCCTCTTGCCTTGACAGCAGACAGCAGTATAAGTGCATCACACGCGAAGACCTGGAGACGGCAGTATGAGGGAGTAACCTCTTCTCTTCCCGGAGGGAGAGCGGGCAAGTTCAGCCCCGCCGGAGATCGACGCAGCTCGCTGGAGAACTGGAACGGGGGGGGGGGGGCACTGTGTGCGGAGTACTTTAGCCCTCTCCACCCCAAAAAGGGGCCAGCTGTCAGGAAGAGGCCTGTGCAACGCTGGCGATCAGTTTGATTCTTTCCGTTGGCGCCGCTGTGGCGGAATTACTTCTGACGTTTATTTATTTATTTATTTATGGATTTATTTATTGCTTTATTTATTGAACGTCTGGCTGCAGCAGGGCCTGCGGAGGCTGTCGATATGAGCGGTGACACCACAAGGTTGTGGATCCATGAACCCTCTGGGTCTAGCAGCAGCTTGGAGCTCGGGCCCCTATTTAACGGGACATGCTGTAGATGTGGTAACTGATATTTCTGAGCTTTCCTATGGGACTTGGTGTGACTTTGAACACTGTAGGGCTAGGACCCTCTTGCATTGTTAACACTACCACGTAGTGTCCTGCCACATTATAGATATTAAATTGTATGGCACTGCATTATTAATTAACCTGCTGTGCTGACCCCACCAATCTGCATACATGACACCTCCTCATGTTTCCCACAGGTCAGCCCGTTAGCAATGTCAGTGACGCTATGGACCTCACAGAACATTCCGCGTCTCACCCAGCCAGCCTCCCAGCTTGCTTTTACCTGTGATCTTATTGTCCTGTGATTCATATTTTTGCTCCGACCCGACTGACGCTCAACACTGCATTTGATGGGTCCAAGGTTCACGGGTCTAGGCTTAGGCCAGACCTGAACATTCCATTATGGTATATTTTTAAATAATTTTGACAGGATTTTGAGGTCTTTTGAGATGTCAGCAGTATGACACACTGGGAGCTTGTATTTTTGGGTTGGAAATATATAAATATATACATATACATATATAAAAAACTTTTTTTTTCCAATTTAGTTGCATGTCTGACGGTGTGCTTATATTACTTGATGAATGTTACTGAACAGATGTTATTGGATGTTTGTTACTGGATGAATGTTACTGAACAGATGCTATTGGATGTTACTGAATGAATGTTACTGAACAGATGTTATTGGATGTTTGTTACTGAATGAATGTTACTGAACAGATGTTATTGGATGTTTGTTACTGGATGAATGTTACTGAACAGATGTTATTGGATGTTTGTTACTGAATGAATTTTGCCTGGATGTCTGTTAAGGAGTGTCTGAATGTTCTTCCTCCTGCTCACTTGTTCTTGCCTGCCCATGTTTGGCTTGATATTAAGGGTTGTTTCTTTCCTTTGGATGTACAGCACCAGCCTCCCTTCTCTGTGCACTTCAGCCTGCTGTTTTTCACCAAAGGGGTGTTTTGGGAGGGGGGTCTCCACAACTGTTCCATTGTGTTTGAGAGATGTTCTCTACACTCCACCAGAGGCTACAGAGACTGACTTCAGCCCCTGGAATAGACTCTACGTTCTCTTTCCATGGGACACTAAAGAGGCCAGACACCTCCCTGGATAAAATTTCGATGTTTTTGTTCCTATCTTTCAAAAGACAAAAACTTTTAGCCCAGTCTTTTAGCCAAGTGTACCCAGAAGGTATTTATTCTCTTTATGAATTCTATGGTGTTTAGTGTTGTTATTGTGCATATTAATATTAAGGGGGGGAAAAAAGAAAAAAAATCTGAGCCATATTCAATGCAATATGAAAGGATGAAAATTGTTCATTTATATATTTATGATTCTGGATTTTTTTTTTACATTACATTAATGTTTTAAGGTGGTTGTTTGAAACACCACTAAGCTTTGTGATGGAATGTATATTTTTTAACCAGTGAAAGTGGGTGTTTTTCTGTTTTGTTTGTATATTTTGAATTTTTCTTTTGTTTTCCTTTGACTTATTTTATCAAGCAAGGGGATACCAGTTGTGATGCGTTGAAATCAATCAGCTTGTAGAAAGCTTTATGGACATACAACACGATGTGTTTATTTGGCCGGTTGGTGTATTTATTGCGCATCCAAAACTAAATCGAAATATGTTTTTCAAGTAGATGATTTAAACCACTTACCACAAACATTTGCATGACATATACACTCAAGTGTGTCGACTTTTTATCATGCTTGAGGGTATGTTTGCACCCAGTGAAGTCCACTGGAATCTGAGTTACATAAATGTGTAAAGATACAATATATTATTTTCTATATTTTTCTGTTTTATAAACCTTGTTCTGCATGGGTATTTTTGATAACTAAGGTTCTCTTCCTCCCATGAAAGTGGCATTATGAAGTGTATCTACTGTTAGTACTGACCTTGGTTGTGGTTTAATATTTTAACCATTGAATTGAGATTTGGTTTTGTGTATTTTAAATTATGGAATTACTTGAATGGTTAATATGTTATGATAGATTATATTTTAGGTATGATCCTGTGTGCCGTATCAACCCCATATTGCGTATTCGCGGTATAATGGAAGTCTGGACACATCTGTATAGAGACCGCTGCCTCTCAATCAAACATACTATTTTGTTTTCCCCTTTGGTTCACTGACAGCTACATGATCATTTGGGCTCGGTAAGAATCCCTTAGCTATAGGTATTCAAGAAACTTGTTTGTTGACAGAATTTGTAAGGCAGGTTTTATGTTTTTACTCCAAAATACCTGGGGATGTGCATCCCTCTAGATTTATATATTTATCATAGCAAATTCATCTCAAGGGGAGTCTGTAGTGCCAAATACAAAACATTTAAATGTTTCGTACATTTCTGTGTGCAGTAATTGAAATATACTCAAGATGGCAACACACATTGGATTTACTTTTAAAAAAAGTTTCATATGTATAAATACAGATGGGATCTGCTTGATGTCTTTGTAGTGTTGTCATGTCATTTATAAAATGCAGATTACTTGCTCTCCTTTGTAGGGGTCAATTTCCCAAAAACATTGTTACTAACTGTGTTACACTACAATACACTATACGGACAAATGTATTGGGACACACCTCTCAATCATTGAATCATTGGCGTTTCATTCAGACCTATTGCCACAGGTGTATAAAATCAACCACCTAGCTATACATGTAGTCAGGTTTACAAACATTTGTGAAAGAATGATTCATTCTGAAGTGAATTCAAGTGTGGTACTGTCATAGGATGCCATCTTCGCAATGAGTCAGTTCATGACATTTCTTCCCTGATAGATATTCCACATTCAGTTATAAATGGTATTATTGCAAAGTGGGAATGTTTAGGAACAACAGAAACTGCTAGGAAGTGGCAAGCCATGTAAACTAACAGAATGGGATCACCGAGTGCTGAGACTTTGTTGACTCCAAATTTCTTCTGGCATCAACCCCAGCACAAAAACTGTATGCTGGAAGCTTCATGGAATGAGCTTCCATGGCTGAGCAGCTGCATGCAAGCTTCACATCACCAAGCGCAAAGCCAAGCATCGGACAGAGTGGTGTAAAGCACACTGCCACTGGACTACGGAGCAGTAGAAACGTTCCGTGGAGTAACGAATAAGCTTCTCTGTCTGGCAGTCTGATGGACGAGTCTGGGTTTGGCAGATACCAGAAAAACGTTACCTGACTGACTGCGTTGTGCCAACTGTAAAGTTTGGTGGAGGAGGGATTATGGTATGGGGTTGTTTTTCAGGGGTTGGGTTAGGCCCCTTAGTTCCAGTGAAGGGAACTCTTAATGCTTCAGCATACCAAGACAATTTGGGCAATTCTAAGCTTCCAACTTTATGGGGACAGTTTGGTGAAGGTTCTTTTCTGTTCTAGCATGACTGTGCCCCAGTGCACAAAGCAAGGTCCATAAAGACATGGTTGGGTGAGTTTCGTGTGGAAGAACTTGACTGGCCCACACAGAACACTGAATTCAACCCCATCAAACACCTTTGGGATGGACTAAAACAGAGGTTGCGTGCCAGGCCTACACATTCAACAGCCGTGTCTGACCTCACAAATGCTCTTCTGGGTGAATGCGCAAAATATTCCTACAGACACTCCAAAATCTTGTGGAAAGCCTTCCCAGAAGAATGGCAACTGTTATAGCTGCAAAGGGGGAATCAACTCCATATTGGTGCCTATGGATTTAGAATGTGATGTCATACAAGTTCCTGTAGCTGTGTTGGCCAGGTGTCCCAATACTGTTGTCAGTATAATGTAAGTGCAAAGTAAGATGGAGAAATCAAGCCCAAAAACAAGCCAAATATATACGGCTACATGGAAACAAAATTTGTCCAGTGTTTGTGATATTATGCATGTTCCTTGTAAATATAACTTACATACAACAGTAACTGAAATATTGGAGGCATGATTCTAAAGATTTAAACATTTTCTTTTGTTAGTGTGACAGTAAATAACTCTTTATGGCTTGCCATAAAACTATATATAGTCCTTTGTAGCACATTTTACACAAATTATTGGATACTGGACTCATAAATATCACAACACAATGGAATGTGTGATATATCTGCATGACGAGGGCTCCTAATTAGGGGGTGCAGTGGTTAGCACTGTTTCACGTCTGTGGGTCCAGGGTTCAATCAATCATGGCTGTGTGTGTGTGTGTGTGTGTGTGTGTGGAGTTTGCATGCCCTCCCTGTGTCATCGTGGAGTTTCTTCCAGGGACTCCAGGGTTTCCTCTCACGATCCAAAAACATCCAGAGGTTGATTGGAGTTACCAAGCTGTGTGTGTGTGACCTGCGATGGGTTGGCACGCCATCCAGGGTTGTTCCCTGCTTTGTGGCCATAGCCTCCAGAATAGGCTCTGGACCCCCCCCCCCTGCAACCCAGAATAGGATAAGCGGTTACAGAAAATGGATGAGGAACTCTTAATCTTTAACCACTCATTTAATATCAAATTCTGGCCAAAAATTTAATTTAAATGAAGTGATAGTAATTGATCCCCCTGGGGAAATTCTCTTTACGCCTCCCCCAGCTTGCTCTCTGAAGGTGAGAGGAAGCTGGCCCCAAAGGGCCAGTGAATTAATGTGTGATTCAGAAGAAGACTGCCGCAATTCAGCAACTGTAAAAAAACTGAAAAATACAGTCTGGAAACTGTTTTGGATTTTGCCGGGTGTTTTTTTACGACTAACATTAGCTTTATTGATCCCAGGGGTAAATTACTATGCAAGCATAGCTACACATTGCCTAAACTGAAGGAAGAATTTGATAATATGATGTCATTTAAGTTTTAAGCTGTTTTATGCACGCAAGCCTATGTCAAATCAAATCCAAATCACTTTTTATTGTCACATCACATTACTGGTACACTGGTACAATACATGTGAGTGAAAATCTTGTGTGCAAGCTTCACAAGCAGTAGTGGTGTACAAAATATACAGATATAAGAACAAATATGCACATGAATGAATATGAATACAAAATATACATATATATGTGTGTGTGTATGTACGGAATGTTGTGCACTGCAATTATGTGCGGTGTGGAGAGCATAAAGTGTCGAAAAAGTGCCAGTTAAGTGTCTATAAAGTACTACTGGTCAGTGTCCAGCAGTCTGATGGCCTGATGGAAAAAGCTGTGGTCCTCCGCTAAATGTACACCTAGGAAATGGAAGCTGCTCACTCTCTCCACAGCAGCGCCGTTGATGGTGATGGCGCTATGTGCACCTCTGCACCTCCAGAAGTCCACTATCAGCTCTTTGGTCTTTGTGGCATCAGCTGTCTAAAGTCAATTTATCAATGATGGGCTGGGTCTGTATTATAATTGTCAGTAATATTTGAATTTCTTCGAATGATAAATCTCATTTTATAAAATTTAGGATTAGTTTGAAAAACTCAAAATCACAACATCAAAATAAGACCAAGCCCAAAAAAACGCAACTAAATGAAATTAAAAGCGACTTCATAAAAAAAGCCCAAAGGCCACTTGTAATAAGCAGACTTGGCAGCTCTGGTTCCAACCAGGAGCGTCAATACAATACATGGTCAAGCTATACAAAACTGGATTTTTTTTACAACTGTTGCCTTTAATAATTGGAGACAGAGTGCAAGGTCCACAAGATGATGTGTGGCAATTAACTCTAGAACTGAAAGACAGGGTTGACTTGATTTGTGCTCAGAAAATTTCCAGGCCTCAGGTTACTTACCTGGATGCTCTCATTCAAGATTTTTTAGATTCAGGGGAACACTGTATCCTAATAACAACCTGAGCCCAAAGCATCATTATTTACGCCACTCTCCGGGATTGGTTCTAAAATTTGGCCCACTGATCCAATTATAGACTATGTCCTTTTAAAGCAAACATAGTTATTTTAAAAGATGTGCAAGACATTTGAATAATTTAAAATATCTGTCACGTTCTTTCAGAAAGACATCAAATGTTTCAGGTCTTTCTTTCAGCTGGGTCAGGGACTCTAGCCTAGCAAATTGAAGACAGATCACTGTTTTACTGCTTTATGGTGAACAAGTTAAACATGCAGTCTTGCAATTTGGCTTCACTGAAATAAATTATCCTGAAATCATCCTCATTGTAGTGAAATATGATTCTGCAATTCATTTTCTGATGAGAGAATAGCAGCGGAATTTAGTAAAGAGACTGAGAGAAACCAGAAAATGGCACTTACCCATGCATATGAATACATGTAGGATTTGTCTGAGGGGGGTAGGAGCAGAGCCCCTGAGATCGTGACGAGTGTGTCTGTACCAGATAATGATTGTCCGTCGGTGATTACTGACATGATCCGCGGCAAGTCTCTGTATGTGATGGGGAGGCCCCCCTCGTACTCTGTGTGGGTGCCGGAGAGAGCATTTCATGCCTTCCTGAAAGCCCAGCAGCAACAAGATGTCCCATCATGCAGCATGAAGAGCGGGGGGCTGTACGTGGGTGACAGAGTTGACCAGGCTGGTTACTTGATCGAGTCTGACCCTTCGCTGGGGTTGCTGCTGCTCTGGTTACTGCGAGGTCAGTGAAGTCCCAGGTGGCCCAGAGACACAAAAATTGTGGACAAATTATTCTACTCCCGTCTCAGGCTGGCTGTGTCGGTGAAGGACCTGGAGATCTTCAGGGTGCCACTGGACATTACCATGATGTCGTATAGAGACTGACTTGGAACTTAGACTGAGAGGGGGTGTGTCTTGAGGATACTGTTCTTCCAATAAAACGCTTTGCCAATGCATCTGGGAGGGGGAGCTGAGCCTGTTTCACTAACCAGCGCATCTGTGTGTGTGTCTGTGTGTGTGTGTATAACTTTGCTTTTGAAAAATGATAGGCACGTTCAAAATGCGCTTAAAAAAACTGAAAAATGAATGCAGAAAACTGTACATTTTAAAAACACGTTTGAAAAATAACATCTGTATATGTTACATCTTAAAACATTTATAACTTTTGAAAATAAAAGAAAATGTGCATGTTACATTAACCATAACTCATTTGATAAAAGCATGCAAACACTTTGTACAACACCTTTGAAAAACAAAACACATATTTGTGTCATAACCGTTTTTAAAAGCCCACACAGACGCTTAGTGAAACTCTGCGGTCAACACATCCGCGCGCTTTGCCGATACACTGTGTGGTGCACGCATAGACATCACATTACGGTATCTGCTCGCATTTAGGAAAATAAGATATGAGCGAATAATAAATGGGAGAATACACATAAGTACGAAGTACAGGATGTACTTAAATACAATTAATTTAAATTACTTATCATTCGAAAGACAACGTTCAAGGCTATTTCCAGACAAAATGTTTCAAAATTTGCTCAACATTTACTGTACTATTTTCAAGAAAATGTACTTTGAAATCCCTTTTTTTAAAAGCCAAGTTTGACAGGCTTTATGTCACGACTTGTGCAGGCACAAACCGGGGAAACAGGAGCGAGTCGGGAAATCGGGTAACGAGGGATTTAATCAAGGCGAAAACACATTTAGGAACAGAGCACAACGATTAAACGACGTCAATGACCGGATTGCGGAAAACATACCTAACGCAGACTTGAATACATAGGACTAATGACTATAACAGGAAACAGTTGGTAAACACGGGGAATCCACACGGGGTAGATGAGGTGGCGTGGCACACGGAAGGAGCGGACGAGCGGGGCACGACACCTTAACTCAGCATTTTCCCATAATGCGTCAACAAATAGGCGTTTCAGTGGAATTCTGGAGTGGGATTCTGGAGATCTTCAAAATATACCTTCCACCACCTGACTAAATCCCTATTTGAGGTCAACAGTTCTCCCTCCCTGCTGTAAACAGCATGGGTGAGGTCTTGGTTCCACCTCCTGAGTCGCCTGATGGTTTGCCAGAATATTTACAAAGCTGCCCAAAAGTCTCACCAAACTCCTCACACACGTAAGTTTTTGCTTGGGTGCCAAAGCTGCTTTACACTTGACCTGCTGGCCCCTATCAGCTGCTTCAGGAGTCCCACAAGCTAACCAAGCATGGAAGGCCTCCTTCTTCAGCTTGACAGCTCCCTTTACCGCCGGTGTCCACCACCAGGTTCAGCGATCGCCACCAACGACCTTACGGCCACAACTCTGCACCACCACCTCAGCAATGGGCTTCCATTCAGGCTCAATGTCCCCTGACTCCCTCAGGATGCAAGAAAAGGTCTACTGGATGTTCCTGCCAGATGTTCCCAGCAAAGCCTCACTTTATGTTGGAAATGGCACTATGGATTTGAGTTCTTATTAATTCCTTGCCCAGTTGTATCAACTGCAAAAAAACCCTATGCTGGCTACTTGTACTATTGTTCAACATCTTGAACGTCTCCACTTATAATGCATTTGTCAGCTGGATGGCACTGAATCCATATTGGGACAAAGGAAAGTGAAAATGGTATGGTAAAAGTTGACCAAATTTTGTCTGGAAATAGATTGGGACCTTGCTTTTCAGAAGGTAGGACATGTTTATACATTATGGGAAAATTGTGAGAAATGCCATGAAATTTGGCTCATACAAAATGACATGGATTTCACAGTGCTTTTTTTAAATAGTACAGTAAAGATTGACCAAATTTTGTTTGGGAATAGCCTAGGACCCTGCCTTTCAGAAGGTATATGTGTCATGCCCCGCTCCGTCCGATCCTAATGTGTGCCACGCCCCCTCGTTAACCTCATGTGGAATCCCAGTGTTTTACAGCTGTTTCGGATTGTTGTCATTAGTTCAGTGTATTTAGTCCGCGTTTCCGTTTGTTTCCCCAGTCCGGTCATTGACGTTGTGATGTTACGTTGTAATGGTCTCTGTGTTTTTGGATTAAACCCCTTATTCCCCGATTTCTGGCTTCCGTTCGCCTGCTTCCCCGCAGTGACAAAAGTATTGGGACA